TGATACTAGGAATGGGGCTAAAGCATAACCACATGAAGCATGTCAGGGGAAGTAAGTGGTACCATCTGCTTTGTGCAGAAACAATCTTTTGAAAGCACAATCAGTAATCCTTTACCAGAAACCCCTGGGATCAGATATGTTTTAGAGTTCGGAGTTTTTCAGATTTTAAAGGGCGAATTCTGTTCACACGCTGTATATTAAAACACAGCCTGTGAGCTCTAGGCAGCGCTGAATAATCAAACATAGTAATATTTCTACAGCAAACATGCAAATATTCACACAAAGTGACATATGGAAAATACATAAATAGTCTTATGTCAGTACAGATCAGTTTTCACCACCAAATGAGTTATGTGAAAATGTTCTCATGTTTATCCATGGATAAGATATTTTGTGACCTGTAGAGGCAGATGCAGCCTGCAAGGTGAGATGGGAACACATTATAAGAGCTCTCTCTGCCTGGATTGGGAGTAAGCTTTTGTTTACTTTGTTTGATAATTTTTCACACTCAATTTTTAATTATTTTAATGTCTTTTGCTCTTCCTACTGTATCTTATTACATGAATTTTTTCTCTCAGGTTTTATATTACTATGTTAATCCATCAATCAAGTCCTTCTTATTCTTCTATGACATACACCAGAACTACCCTAAATTTTAACTTAATTGTAATTTGTTGTATTATTATGGTTCAATTTACATACAGTAAAGTTGATTTCTGACAGGTATAGTTCTTTGTGTTTTAACACACTTAGAGGTCAGTGTAACCACTACCGCAATGAAGATAGAAAACAGCTCCCCAAAACTCCCTGCTGTCCTGACTGTATTTTCACTAATCATGAACGAGATCCATGTATTCTCCTCATATCCTCCTGTAACAGAACTGGTTGGAGATTCCAACTAGAATTGACAAGTGTTGTTGACTGGGACGCATGTGATCGCTGCTCTCTTATTGTACTGAAAAGCCGTTCACCAAAGTTTGCCATCCACTACACTGTGAGTTACTCAAAGGCTAAAATGAATTCCTTGTGTTGATCCTCACTGATGTTTTTGCATTTGAAATACAAATGCTATTCTATTTAGGTGGAAGATTCCTCTAGCTTCCTAGATTTATTTACACCCACCTTCCCCCATCACCTTCCCCGTAGCATACTTTCCTAAGTATGTATGCTTTATCCTCATTCTCTCCAATGGAACAATTGATTTGGATCCAATCCATGCTACTAAAACAAGTAGCACATTCTTTTAGGATGTGTAGATACTTAATCTATGCCTGAAACTGTTAAGGTATAAATGCCATCTATACTGTAGCTACAAAATTGAAGTGTGATTTCTCTGTGGGTCGACAGATACAATAAAGAACTTAGAAATAAAAACACTGAGCTGCTTGATGCTCTAACGTAGATACCCAAGATCCCCTATTGCATACAAGTCAAGCAAAGGCCCTCATTTGTGTGTTCCTACACTTACCAAGCTCCAGTTTCAGGCATTTCAGTTACCCAACTGCTCTTTGCCAGTCAGGTTCCCCTTTATGACTGTTTTATCACAGAATGAGCACATCTTAGGAAATTGCTTAAATATAAACTTCAGAAATCAAGGTGTCCAACTCAACCTTATGAAGTTTTGAAAAATAACACATACTACCCAAATAAAACTATATCTTAGAACCACCATTCCAAAAAAAAAGTATGAGAATTTGGGAAGATTAAACACTTTTCTCCTTTTCACAAACACATTCGGGCTTCAGAGTATGCTTTTTTCTTTTCTTATGTGGTTAAAAATAACTCAAGGAAGAAAACATCCAGCGAATTTTTGAAACTATGTGGGAGGGTATGTGAAGGAGCCCTTTCAAGGAAGGACAGCTGAACAGTGGGCAGAGAGTTTGAATTAACTCATCTCCTGGTAAGTTTCAGGGTTTCATTTCCTCAAAGCAGAAAGAAAGCAGACACCAGAGTGGTGTGTTTGCTACCAGTAGAATTCTTGTTATAGACTTTTAATAACAAAAAGAACACGTATTCTGTGAAATAATCTGGGTTTGCCTCTACAAGGCAACTGGGAGGGGAAGAAGAGGGGTTATCATAAATGCATAGTGGTCTAGAAAGACGACAGTTAATTCAATAATGGTTTTTATGGAGTGCTTGCTGAAATGACTGCTAGATTAAATGAGCCCCAGTAGTGCAGTAGAGTTAGCAATGTCATGTCTAACAAGAGGAAGAACGTAAATCTTTTAACAGTTTACAGATGTTTCTATTTCATATCTCTAATCTAAAAGTTTTGACAAAGTGATGCCACCCTGAAACCATTCCATGGTAGCCTCTTCACAACAACAGCTCCCTACAAGTAGCAAATCCTTTTTAATCCTTAAGGATTTCATTGTAATGACACTAATCACATCAAACTCATTGGGTATTAATTGAAAAATCTTATGTATCGCCAAGGGACTCGAGAACAAAATTCAAATATCCTGTATCCATTCTGCTGAAAACAAAATTTGGGTTCCAAATCAAGTACCCATTTTAGTACCACTGATTGAATACAACCCACTAACCCACTTATCCCCATGTAGGTGTCACTTAAGAAAAAGAAATGATTAGTAATTCATTGTCTTTCAGTCTCAAGAATAACAAAATAATTCAACATTAATTCTAAGTGAACTCCCTTGTTATTCTGTCCTCCTCTCTAAAGTCCATTAATAATAATACTGGCAATGATGAATACACGGCAGGGTTCTTTCAGAGAAAACCTTGACAACATGAAACAAAAAAGATACCTTGTTCCTTTAGAGATAAAACTTACCTTAAATCCTGGCCTTGTCATGACGGGACATGGCCTCTTTGCCTGGCTGCTACATCCCTTTTCCTTGTGGAAATTCTTCACAACTTGAAGAACTGTGTTTGTTTCCTTGAAGTGCCCTGAGCTTCCTAGGCTTGGAGAAGTTGCTCAGGGAAACTTAGGGATAAAGTGTGCAACAAAAAGAGAAGAGTCAGAGAGACACATGGAGAAAGGAAGCAAATGTTGCATAGGCACGCCCAGGAGGAGCAGGATCTGAGAAAAGTCCTCAACTCTTTAGAGATGGCTTGATTTTGAAAACTGCAAGTATGCCATGATCTTCATTTCTGTTTGCATAGCTACTGCAATAAACAGGAATAGCATCCTGGCCACTCTCTGTGAATCAAATCTCAAATGCCCACTCAGCTGCATGTACGGATATTAGCTTGGTGACAGTCGACCCTGCTAAAGAGAATTCTATGAATTCTTTGATTTGACTTAAATAAATTTTGACTGAGGTGCGAGATCTATTCCATACTAAGCATCTTGACCAAGGCGCTGCTCAAATTTACAGATTTATCCTATCTTAGCACAGAAGAGAAGTGTTATATAAGAGCTCTGACAGGAAAGCAGGGAGGCCAGAAGCACTCTATTAGATTGAGAAAATGAACTGAAATCTCTGGGTGGACACTTTTGCACTGCACCCACAATATTATTCTTGATTTGCTAGGAAGAAAGCAATTTATTCTGTCACTTTCTGGGGACTTAGAGCTAATTGGCCTTTCATAGTTATGTGATTCTGCAAATGAGCATAAAAGTGAAAGCTGACAAAAACTCAAACAGGAAATCTGAATCTGCCTATTTTCATAAGTATCTTATAATGCTCTGTAGAAAGGGACGAGATTTTGATTAGAATAGCAAATTTCTGCATGCAAAGGGAAATGCTCCAAATTACCCATCACTGTAACAAACAAAAGATTGCTCTTCATTCAGACTCCTGGATGAAAGAAAACGCATGTTCTTTTTCCAAAAGTCCAACCCCACCAACCCCTCCAGACCATCCGCAGCAGCCAGTTAGCACTGACATCAGTAGGCGTGTCTCTGGGGGTATGACCCCTCCTAGCTTGCACTTCCCACCCTAGTCTGCTAGAAAAGACATGCATAATACATCACATCTTGGAGACCAACGGGAAGATGTTGCAGCAAAGAGAAATACAAAGAAAAACAAAGGAAACTTCCATATACCATTAATAGAAGCTGGAAAAGATTAAGCTTAACATACATAAAATGTCTTCAAGACCCACAAAGAATGTGAAGGTATTTTCATAGTGTCTAGCACAGATGACAGAATGAATGCCATGAAGAGAAACTGAAGCGATGCAAACCACGGCAAACATGTAGCACCATTTGTCATGCATGAAGTACACAGGATGAATTTGCTGAGGAGAACAGACTGGGGTCATTGATGAAACTGAGTCCAACCTAAGCCAGAAGCAAGTGTGCCTTTTGATTTGTCCATTTGAAGTGACTTTCCTGTCTCATCTCCTCTCCTCTGTCCTTCCTGACCACCCACTCCATTCCCCTCCTCTGGTCTCTCCCTCTCTTTCCTGAGGACTGATCATCTTCTCTCTAGCTATCCATGGGACAAAATTTACCTGAAAAGCTTCAAGTCAAGCCGACCATGCTGGCATTTGCACTGTGTGGTTGTACACTTTGTAGAACTCCACAACACTGAGTAAAACCTTATGTTTCAAAAAAGCAGCTCTCCTGCCTGCCAGTTCTTTTCCCATACTGAGGCACTAAAGCTCCATTTTTTCCCCTCTGAGCTTGAGCTTTCAAAGTTATTTTCCACTCTGATGATTACAGACAGCTCAACAGACAAAGAAAAAGGGGATTTTAAAATAGGCAGTCACTACTAATATGTACTTTGCTCTTTTTGTCCAGAAAAAAGAAGCCCAGGTGTCATTTTGCCATTTCTTAATCATCAATGTCAAAAAAAAAAATCACACTCGGGAAATGCAGACATAAAAATGCATTTATACTGACGAGATCAGCAAAAAAGGGGGGATAAAAGGGGACAAATCTTGCTCACCAACAATGCCCTGTGTTCCCACAGGAAAAAGGAGAGTCAGAACAAGAGAATGATTATTATCATGAAGTTTTGAATATGTAATAAAAATTTAAAAGAAGAATATGCTTAAAATAAGCTTCTTACTATGGGAAATACTTTCTGAGAATGGATTCTAAAGTCAATATCTCAATACCCTCTCCTGTAGACCTTTCAGCCTCTGTCAGTTTTGCTGTGCTCCAACATATCTACTTTTTCCATTGGCTCCCATTGTTGCATTTTAAATTGCTGGTCTGCTTCTTCTCTTTCTTTATTTTACACCAGTCTTCTCATACTTAAAAATCAGTCAAAATGTATTATATTTAATCCTGTTTCAGAATATTTTTAAGAATGCTTGGTCTAGGGCAAGGTGAAGTGCCCCAGGTATTCATTTCAGGGACAAACAGAAAAACAAGACTGTGGGTTCGTGTTTGGTGATCTGCTCTCACTATTTTGATTTTTTTCTCAAAAGCATTTCATGTACCTTTAAGATGTGCTATTAAAAATACAGCGTTCTTGGGGCCAGCACTGTGGCACAGCAGGTTAACACCCTGGCCTGAAGCGCCAACATCCCGTATGAGCGCCAGTTCTAGTCCTGGCTGCTCCTCTTCCGATCCAGCTGTCTGCTATGGCCTGGAATGGCAGTAGAAGATAGACCAAGTCCTTGGGTCCCTGCAGCCATGTGGGAGTCTCGGAGGACGCTCCTGGCTACTGGCTTCAGATCAGCACGGCTCCGGCCGTTGTGGCCATCTGGGGAGTAAACCAGCGGATGGAAGACCTCTTTCTCTGTCTCTACCTCTCTCTGTAATGCTGTATTTCAAATAAATAAAATAAGTCTTTAAAAAAATTACAACGTTCTTAAGTATGGTTTTAAAATATTAATAGCTACTTTTACTGAATGCTCACTTGTACTAGTCTGCATGTTATGTGATTTCAAAGATAATCCATTATTTCTTAGTGCTCTGCAGATTCTGTACCCATTTTCTTCTTATAGGAAGACTGAGGCTCATGGAGACTGCATCTTGGCTGAGTTAAACCCCTAGTGAGTAGCAGCAAGCATTCCAATCCAAGACTCTCTGAGTTCTAAATTGACACCTTTCTCCAGTATTATGTCATTTTCCCAAAACCAGCTTCCTAGGTATATTATTCTGCAAAATAATGTACAGCCAGTGGATTTATTCTCTGTAATATAATCCATAGAAGAATTCAGTGGCTTCCTGAGATGTCCCATAAATGAGTCAGCCAAGAACCCAGTAGACAATAGAGAAGAGGTAGACAATAGAGAAGAGGTATACTATAGTTTAAAAAACAATCATTAAAGATTGATTAAGGAACTAAGTATCCCCAGCACTGGCCTCAGTGGTGGAGGGGAGTATATGATGAGGCATCTGTCAACAAAGAGTGAAAGTAGCCTAACATGGATATGAAAAGATAACATTGACCATAATAATGCCTAACAGAGCTGGCCATGTTGGAGAATAAGAGGATTCATACATTAATACACATATCTGTAAACACCCAACATTTTTCTCATATTCACTGTTTGATGAATTCTAAACTCTATTACACACTTCCCTGACTTCATAAACATAGCTTATTGCACATAATTTTTCCTTTCCTTGATGACTTGGGATCACCAGTCTGCATTTCAATCATTGTGCTGTGAAGTGCAAGCAAGCATGGTGCCTCTATAGTTGTTGGTGAGTTCTGGAAAGCCATCTGTCTGGACATTAAGTGGCACCAGGCTTTAGGATTTCTAAGATTTTTCTGCCTGTGCTGTGCAGGGTATTGCCTTCTTCCTCTCTGTCAGATGCCATCACTCACTGCTTTCACTGTGACTTGGCTAATTCTAATCTGCTGTTCCCTGGCATCACATGAGAAACCTTTCATGACCAATCTCTGGATTCTTTCTTCAACTTCATCCCCCAGGTTTTTTTCCTTCCATTAATGCCATTCTCTATAACTCTTTTTCAGTAATTCACCAATCCATACAGCTTCTAAACACAATATGCTGTATCCCACTTCTGTAGCTATGCATTGGATGCCTTTTCTTTTACTTGTCTAGTTTAAAAAAAAGCACTTATTCAAATCCAAACTAGAAATAAGGATCTATAGTGAAGTTTCCCTGGAGATATTATTTTCCAAATCCAGAGTAAAAATCAGCAGATTTATTTCCACACAACACCAGCGCTGGGTGTATATAGCTGGAACTAAATGTATCACAAAATAAAGAAATAAATTTCTGTTTATCAATCTGTTCTCCCCACTAAAATGTAAGCTCCTTAAAGATCTTATACATCTTTGCATGCTTAGCACTTAACTCATAGTGCGATGTATAGCAGGAGCTCAGTAAATGTCTGTGCATTTAGTAAGTGCTGCCTTGATTTTTATATGACAATGCACCTCTGCTTTGGAATCAAGCAATTGAGTGCCATGCGATTTGCCTTAGACCTCTGAATGAAGGACGTGTTGTTATTTATAATCAACTGTGTGCTAGAAAAAGCAAACACATCACAACAGGCTGTTAGTACAGGGAGAAAGCTCATGAAACAGAGCAGCCAGAGAAGCCTTCTTGGGAGAAGCGATTCTTGAGCAAGGCTCCCCCAGTTGATGTGCAGTCATCTGCAGCAACCTTGGTGGCAAGCAGGTTGTTTATGCAACTTCTGTAAAGTAAATGCTATTCATCTCTGTAAAGAAGTTATATTACCTTGTTGGCCTATTAAAAATAAGAAAAGTGTCTACCATCATGTTAGGGTTTCTTCGACTTGAGCTGAGCCTCTTGGATTTACTGAAAAAATGGAGCAGAGACACCAACCTCTCCCAGAGATGAGCTGAAACAGAATTATCAATACCATTAACTGTGGAATAAAAGACGGCGGAGTTCACATGCAAAAGCAGGGATCACCTCCCCTTGGTGCCAAGAAAGGACATCGAATTTTTGTTTTGTTTTTGTTTGCTTGCCTTTTTTTTTTTTTTAATTCCAGAGGCAGAGACACAGGCAGACAGACACAACTCCCATCCTCTGATTTATTTCCCAATTGCAGACAACGAGCTGGCAAAAACCCAACTACATGAGCCATCACTTACGGCCTCCCAGGGTCTGCATGGGCAGGAAGCTACAATTGGGAGCCAGAGCGAGGAACGGAACCCAAACTCTTCTATGTGGGATATGGGCACCTAACCACAAGGCCAAATGCCTACCTCTTTGATTTTTTGTCCCCCCACAGTTCTTTTGCCCCTGGTTCTAAGATTAGGTTGCTATGGTATGACCACATGTGGCCACAAGTCTCCTAAAGAGTGGTCAATAGATAATGCTGGAACTAAGTCTCTGATTATGGCCTTGATGTCTTTCCAACCACTCGACCTCTAGTCAATGTATATCTTTTAGTAAACTGCATTTTTTTTTTATCTTGAAAGCTTCCATTTACTTTTCTCAGTAAATTTTCCTTTGAACCCAGACTTCGTAATATAATAAAATAAACCAGTGTCCATTTTTAATTGGTTTAAGAAATGTAAGAGAAAAAAATCTAAAGGTTTTGTTTTTCTTTATCTAACCTTGATCCAAGCTTTTTTGCTCAATGAAATTCTCTAATATGCACATTTGAAGTCTCTTATGGCACAGAAATCTCAAGAAAAAATCTTAGGTACTGAAAAGGAGCTCATCACAAAAGACAGTTCAAAAATTCACTGCAGTAGGTTATATATGAATTCCCATCAGTAGAGGCACAAACATAGACACCACTTATGCAAAACAAACCAAAAGAAGGAGACCTTGGGATTGCATGTTGTAACACTCAATGCAATACGTTTTATGTATGTATGCCAATGTGTCATACAAAATGAAACCACAACCCAATTCCAAGTGATCCATTTCATAAAGGCATGCTGTTTGGTACCCTAATGCTTTCTCCTTTTAATTTTTTTATAAGATGATTTCCCCAGTATTCAATGGCAGGACTTGGTATAACATTTTGTTTATCACATTTTAGTGATACATTAGCTCTGTATTACTGACTTGCCTTGGCTTTCATTTGGAACAAACTGAAAAATGCTCTTATTTTAAGCCTCTCACCTTCAAATTCCTTTTCTACATTTCCTTCACATTGCTTTTCCGAGGCAACGAATCTCCACGCCTTCTTGATCAAGACAGACAACCTAATGGCTGAGTGGGCTTTAATTTCTACGCTTCTGGCATTCAAACTTGATTTGCATTGTCATATGGAATTATTTGGTATTCAGCATAAAACACTATTTCTTTTTCTTTTTTTCCTTCCCTTTTCTAGACAACCAACCACTGGGAAATTATTGTCAAAGTCTTAAAATGATTTCCCAATGATTGCTTGTTAGTACAATACAATTTCTTTCTCAGCCCTAGTCTCTCGTCAGCTCCTTTCTTGGGACCAATGAGTCCCCTGCATCTGCAGCACACACCATACACAGTCCTGTGTGGAGACACACTCCAAATACACACATCTCTACTCTTCTCTGTAGTGGCACTTAGGGGTATCTCAGTGAATGAACAGAAGATGAGAAGGCAGATATAAAAAGGGAAAAAAATTCTAAATTTAAAAATCAAAAAGAAATATAAATCTTCACTTCACAGATTTTAAGGGCTTATTTGCTGATAATGTTTAACCAGAAACAAGTTCAGCCTCCTTCGAGTGGTTTCTCTATGTAAAACTGTATGTCTAACACTGGAGAACAGCAGGAAACAAATGACACCTTTGTTCCTAAGATGCCCTTGATGCAATCATAATGGACATGTGGGCAACCAGCTGTTGTTGGAGACAGACAATGAAGAGCTGTACGCACGAAATGGGATGAAGTAAGTCTTACAGGGATACAAGCTAAGCAGTGATTCATTCTGCCTCAAGGGACAAAGATGGAGGGGAAACGTCAGAGCTGGTTCCATTTCACTCCAACAGGTAGAAGAGTTGAGGACGGATCAAAAAGAGAGAAGGAAATGAGCCATAGGTGAAAAAAGAAAAGGAAATAGAAAAAAAGGGAGCAAAGTGGCGAAAAACAGTGCCAGATTTAATTTCCAGAGAATTAACCTGGGAAATACGTTTAACTCAGGAGGCTGTGAATCTAAGGACTTTCTTTTAAGTGCCAAAGGCATAGAGTAATCTATTTAATTAGAAAAATATGCTTGTGTTGCACTCTGAGTAGTTTCCCAGAGGAAAATTTGTTTCCTTTACAGTTAAATTTTTTTTTTTAAATCTCTCCCTTTCCTGCTCCCATTGCCCTTTTTTATTTTTTGTTATGCCACAAGCCCACAACTCTCTAGAAGTTGCTTGCTCTTATGCAGTCTTTGTCAATCGGATTGTGGACATGACCCTCCCAAGATCTCACATTATTTCCGGGTCCTGAAGTAGAAGTACATTAACACAGTTATAGCTATCCCTGAGCTCCTCCAGTAGGTTCTTGGTAATAACAAAGAAAAAATACAACTCAAAAGGCATTTTTTCAATGACTCACCAAATCTCCACAATAGCAAATAGTTCAGCAGAATAATATAAATAACCTTAGTAACTTACAAAGGAATAAAAATATTCAAAATAAAGCAGAGGATCCATAGTCAATTCAACACTCTCTTTCAGTAAGTTTGTAAAGTCTAAGAATATTCTCACCAATTGCAGCAAGTCGGGATGCTTAGTCTTTCTTATACCTATATTAAAAGGAAAATAGATTCTGGTGGCCTGCAAATTGAAACAAGATAAGCTCCTTTTCACATGCCACACGGTGAGGGCTGCAAATAGAAATTTAAATACTTTATCACAATTCTGCCCCTGAGCAAGGAAATCCAAACATATTAATTGAACCAACATAACAATTTATTCAAATAAGATTAAAGTGCACTAAATATGCAACTTGCATTTTCAATAAAAAGATTAAAAGGATACATGCCCAATTCTAATCTATTCTCACCCAGTTTTATACTGTTAGTTCTCATATTTTCATACATAGAATAGTCTCAGATAACAAATACTACATTGCAGATGATAAATTCAAAACAAAGACACATATAAGAATGAAAAAAAGCAAACGCAAGTGGTAATGGATAAAAAGAAGGGGAATTGAGGATATTACTGAAACCTTGCAGTTACTAGCATTTTGTAATGAGGAAGCATGTTTTAAAAATCTTTGTAGCAGTACTAAGCAAAATTAATGAAGAAGTTCAAAACGGGTATATCTCACATCTTCCTTTCCTTTAATTCTAAAAACAGAAATGAAGAATTTGGGACACAGTGTAATGTGATCTAAAAATCTGCTTTTAAACTCAAAAAACTTTATTACCAGGAGACACTGCATACACAGTCAAGCCCATAACGTTATTGAATACTGTGACCAAACATTTCAGGTAGGTTCCTTACATCCAAGTGACCTGAATTTGAATCTATGTTCTGTTGGCTAAAGGCAATGTATCTCATTATAAATAAATGATGGAATTGAAATCTCAAGGAAAGTTTCCTTAATATCTATTTTTGTAGTGCATAGTAAATACACTTCAGAATACTTCTGCAAACACCTATGATTTATGGTTTCAGAAACATGTGTATTTAATTGTTCTGTTTTATATTTATTTGAGTGCATGTACCATAATTCTTTACACATTTTGTACACATATGTGTAACTGTAAAACTCAATGAGTATATTTCTAAAGGTTAGCAAAGGTGTGATGGAAGCATTATTTTTATTTTCACAGACTCTTATTTAGCGCTTCATGCAAACCATAAAACCATTCTTGTAACTAACAACAAGATCTGTTCAAATGTACTTACGCTAGGAATTATACAAACACCAACTTCCATGGTATTTTTATATCAAATCAACTCTAGTTTGAAATGGTTTCCCCAATTACTAAAAGGCATGCTCACATAAAAGATTTGATATCCCACAAACGTGCTGACGTGTGTTTTTTCCTGGAAAACTCAGAATAGGATCTGTCAGGTATATCCGCTAGCGTAACAAACATGTCACCGAGATTTGCATTGGGAATTAAAACATTCTGTAGCCTGACAAAAGGCTGTGTGTTTTTAGCAACCGTGACGAGAAGAAGCCATTGCAATACCTAGACATTGTGAGTTAAAAGTCCCTCATCAGACAGCTTGAAAAAGCACTTTAATCTCATGATGGAGGTTCCCTGAGTGGCAAGCCATGCTACAGAGAGCTGCGGCTGCATCCCCAACACAATCAACCAGGCAAGTCTAATTCTATCTCCTACAACATTATTTTTCCTTCTTGTATTTATACTCAGCTTAAATTGGAACCGTGAATGCAGGGACATGCATGTGCAGAAGATGAGAAATGTCATCAATATTAAGCTTCAGTCCTAAACATCAAATGTGAAACAATAATATTTATGGAATAATCCTGCAGTCACTATGAAAGAAGTAAAAAATATTGTTAAGAAGCTAACAGGACAATACCATAAGACTCATCCCCATTATTTGAATAAAAAGAATTGCATTAAGGAGAAGGGCTAAGAGTTTCCCTATTAAGAATACACTCTTCAAAATTTGCCTTAAATAATTTGAATTTCGTGGTTCCAAAAGAATGCCCAGCAAATATTTGTAACAAGATTTTGCACATATCAAAGTGGATCTGCACATCTTTAATCATAAATACATGATAACTGAAAGGAAATCTCTGCACAAAATAGAAAAAAATATTGTAATTAACACAATTTTGTTTGAAATGCGACAGGCTTCACTTGTTTTTCAGGTCATTAATGGAAACAGACATCAACTTATTAGCAGTTTCATAAAGGCAGTCTTTTAGAAATATTTCCTATCACTTAATTCTGTATATAATTTGAGTGTGTCATTAGCTACACAAGATATCGTAAGGCTTTCCTGTAAGAAAGATGTGATAGAAACCAAATAAAGTGCTTATCATGAATGGACAGAATTTAATGGGTACAAGTAGAAAACAGAATGCCCAGAAAACATTCTAATAACTTTATATTTTAAAACACAATATCCATTCAAGATTTCTATAAAAGGCTCCTGATACATGAATTACAGTTTCCATCTAAATATCCTTACTCCAAACATAAGGAAGGTCAATGAGTCACATCCATCATAAAAAAAAAATTGTATTAGCATTCTTTGTTTCTATAAGAGAAAACATGATACAAATCATGAAGTGACATAAGCTATCTTAAACTAAGATTTAGCACTGTTGATTTCACTTTATTACATAATACAAATGTCTTCATTCATTTCTTAATAGTGCTTACTGATACACTAAATGCAGGTACATCTTTAAGAATTAGAAGCCAGTCCTGTTTACTTAGACACCAACAAGCAAGAACTGAATGCATTCTTCCATCCAGAAATGTACCTTCACTATTTTAATCCTCAACCACAACCCTGGGGGGCATAAATTTATTATCCCATTTCCAGGTCCATAAAATGAGGCCAGAGAAGTGATATATCCAAGGTCACATAGCTGATCATGGTTTAGATCAGAATTTGAACAAAGCTCTGACTGATGCCAATCTCTATTGCAAATGCTTATCCATTGCTACTCATTGTTTATCCTCCAAAACATTAAGTGGCTTCCCAGCTTTGACCCCAAATGGCATCAATACATTTTGATTGTTTTTCTGTATGAGACTTAGGAACTTCTCAAATATTTTCTCTCTGATTTCCAGTTTTCTTTCAAGCAGAACAAACAAGAGACAGGAGATGGGGAAGTCAGTTTGTAGACCAGCGTCTGGAGACCTGTGATTCAGTTCAGTCGATTTAATCCAACACTCATTTATTGATGGGAGTTACCAAGCTGATGGGTCTTTGAAGGAGGAGGAGTTCTCAGGATCTTTACGGGAAAAGACAGATAATGGGAATGATGAATAGTGAATTGTCATTCTAGTGGAGAAAGTGAGCTGAGCAGTGTTAAGAGCTGCTAAATCGGGTCTTGGGATATCATTCTTCTTTTCCTCACAGGGAAGCATTCTGTGTAAGGGAGACAGAGAAGTGATTTGTGTAACTGAAGAAAGAGCTAAGGGTCACATTTTTAGTAACACACTTCTCCTGCCTTTAACTTTCCTAATGATTTTTTTAAATTATGAAAAAACTAGGGTTTAAAATGTGTATTCATATTCAAATAGTAATTTTCATATGCACACAGTAATTCAAGTGGAAAATTATTTACAAAATGATACTTTTATCTTTTTAAAATTTCACCTAAATTTTCTCTTTAAATAGTAGGCAGTCATACCCATTTAATGCTACCATAGTCTGATTTTCACTTTCTTATTCCCCTGTGATTTTGCTCTAGTAATTTGCCCTCTAGGACTTTTGATTTTTTTTTTACCTTTTATATAGAAATCATACCTATACGATTTCCTTAAGGATTACATGAGCTAATGTATTTGAAACAATTAGCACGGACTCTGGCACTGGATAAGCTCTTAATAAGTGGAGGGTATCACCTTCTGGGGTTGTTGGTTGCTTTGCTTGCTCTACAGCAGAGCATAATATGTCCCAAACACCTGCAAGAGCTCTGAATATACAATGTTTAAAATCAGCAATTAAGCATGATTTACAGTTTCCTTTTCTCAAGTGAGTTTTTGTCATTTACATGACAGTAGTATTTTTAATAACATAACCAAAATCTGCCATCTCAGAGTACTTAAAGCTGATGAATGAAACCACAACATTTCACATTCCTAATGTTAGTACACAGTTGTCCTTGTTTCAGATTGATCTCTTCAGTTTCAAACTTGGCTTGAGAAGTATCAAAGGATACCCAGTTAGACCAATATTGTGTACTAAAATTATGATGTATTCCATTCTTGAGAAAGTTCTGTGAAAGAAAAATCAGGAGGATTTTTATAAAACAATCACAACAAATTTCTTTCTGCCTTTTTCTTTTCCCAGGGAAAATGCAAAAACAGTATCATTATATGAAGAAAAGAGGCAGAATCCACAGATAGAGGAGCTGTAAAGAACAAAAGATAGCTAACAGTTAAAGATAATTCAAATAGTGGGCTTTGATGTTCTTTTTTAGCTGTCCTATTAAATACTTTTTTTTTTCCTTTTTCACATTCCAATTGTACCAAATGTAAAAAGTCCATATACAAAAGGAACAATAAAATGCTTGTTAATCTAATAACAGAATGCCAAGAACAGAAAACCTATTCCCCCACAAAGTGTAATTGAGATTGCCTAAACCACAGACAGTTTATGATCAGAAACCTTGAAGGAAAAAAGCCATCAACTGAAATGATGTTTCTACTGTGAGCTCATGGTCACAGCAAGGCTAAAAGACCAGGGACATAAAGCCGTATTAATTGTACTTCCCACGGGTCACCAAACATCCCAGTTTGCCTGCAAGAGTCCCAGTTTATGTCTTTTATCTGTTGTAATTATTATTAGAGTACCTTCAACTCCAAAAGTGTCCCAGTTTGGAAAGTAAATTATATATTTGCCATCAGCTTACTCTACCCCCTTTCACTGCCTTCTCACTCTCCTAACAAAATGAAGGGCATGCAAGAGGGGGGAAAAAAAAGCATTACCTTGTTTTTAAGCTCAGCTATTCATTAGACTACCTTTCATTTTCTTAACGCAGGGCAGACTGCTAGTTTGAATTGTGCCTGATAACAGTCCTATTTGCCCAGAAAACATTTGGGGTGGAATGATCCTTACCTTCCCCAGACAAATTCTTTTCTCTTATGAATTTCTACCGAATTCTACGGCACAAAGTTCAGTCTGCTTATTGAATTCTACTTGAAAATTTCAAGGCATTGTACCTTACAAGAGGACTCCTTAATATAATTGCTGTTTCTTTAAAAAAAAAATTAGATGTTCAACTTAGGTGATAAAGCTAAGAATAGCAGTTCATATCAGAGGCAGCAAAGGCTGAGTACCTTACAGCAAGAGCCCCTTAATCAAAAAGCAATCTTTTGGGATGAGTTAGTAGTGCTTTGCCTCCGGCACTAACCAGATCCCCTGCTTTCATTGTATATTTCCACAGGAGTCTAATGATGAAATACATTAGATCTTCTCACAGGTGAAGTAGAAACACACTTCAAGCATTGCTTTTCTAGGGTCACATGGTGCTTCTAAAAACAAGGCGGGGCGGGGGTGGGGCAGGGATGGTGGCAGTATTAACAGCATCCAAGCCAACAATGTATTCTGCAAGCAAATGCATGGACAAGGAATGGGCAAATTCTCTCTTTTATAGGAATGTATCTGAGAAATTCACAACATGTGATGTTGTAAGGGAGACAAGCAAAACAGTTTGGTTCTGTTGTTGGAGGTCTAAGGATGCAAATCTTTGTTTAAAAATAAGTCTCACCTTTGAGTCCTGAGAGTATCTTTGACCCTTACCCAGAGAAGATTTGCAGGTCCAAGGAAACAGTAGAATTAGAATATTTTGGCATTGGGGACTAAAGATTGTATCCTTCATCTGTTCTACATCTATAAAAACATAAGCAGTATATAGTGGCTGAGAATATAAGAGGGTGAAGATCTTCATTAACTACACACAGAAGACATGGAATGCATTTCATTGAGTTATTTTACTTGTATTTGACATTCCCCGATACACACAGACTTATAGATACTGCACACATCTATACATACACAAAGATATTTGGTGTCTGTAATATAAACCTTTCACACATGCATACACACATATTCACACACACACAAAGTATCCTCAAACACATCAAGGTTTTGTAGTACAAGTGGCTGGTACAGATCTCTTTTCCTTAATTCATGGTCTCCTAACGCCACTCAAACATAGTGGGCCCCTAAGAAGAGGACAGGAGGTAAGATGTTAGATTTGCTGTTGCCTTCAGAAAAGAGTCTTTGTTTTCATTACGTTCTGCAAGTTGCTTCAAGCCAGGCAGGTAAAAGCAAATCATAAGTCAGGGTGAAAGGCTATAAATATGCCATATTTGTTTTTCCTGTTTGTTTTGCTTTGTTTTTAACCTTCACTGATTTGGGGAGGTAATTAAGTGTTTTGACATAAAAGATCTCCTGCTGGGTGATAGGCTACATGGGGAAGGGAAATTAGACCAAAGGTATTGAGTAATAACCACAAATGACTTTATAGCCCATTCTGTTTGAATGTCAATAGAACTTGAAAGCAAGATTTGCAGAAGATAATCAGCAATGACTCCCCCATGTATAATCAGGAATTGACTATAATTAGCCATTCGCAAACCTCTTACCTGCCTCTATAATTTCTTATCTCAGTGGCAAAAAAGAAAAGAAAAAAAGTGTAGGCAGTGGTATAGGCACAGTGACCTAGAAGCTCAAAATGATGAATGACAGAAATTCTCAAATATCAAAAGCATTTATTATCTTTCCAAAATTTATCAGCATTGAATTAATTTGGCAGGTTCTTAATGACTTTGCCAAGGGACGAAGTATGCACCACATCATTGTATATATTACTGTAAGCTGTTTCAAAGCCTCTGAGGAATGGTGGAAAAAACTATATATTGCTGAAATAATGTTTTTATAAATAAAATTATATTGGAAATGGATGAAGAATAATAATAAAGTACAACAAAATATACAATCTGTCATGCCATAATTTCAGAAGATGCTGAAAACTGTGTTCATATTTGCTTCTTTCATAGTGAAGTGTTCACTTTGGAGAATACATTGAAGGAGAAGCTGATGAGAAATAGTAATTGTTTTATACAATAATAATTCAGTTACAATGGCTGTAGCCCATCTACCGAGACTAATGAGCTTAATCAAACAAGGCTCTGCTGAAAATGAATTCATGGGATTGAAATCTCAAAATCCAGCCTTCCATATTTAGAAACGGATTTTTAAAAGATCTTTTTAAAATTCTAAATTATAATCTATAATGAGGTATCTTTCTATCAGAAATCATGCCATATTTCTCAAGGGAGATTGTTTCTGTATATTGAGAATGTGCCTAGATCACACATAAAATATGCAATCACTGAAAGATTTTTTAAAAAATGCAGTCCCTTTGCCCACATGATATTTACCAAATTACAATTCCTGAGAATGCTAAGCATTGAGAAACCCTGAGTAAGCCACCATAATAGTTATTAAGATACTATGCTAAAGGAAAATATTTCCCTACAGGAGGTACTAATAAGATAGCCAACAGTATAAGAAAAGCATCAAAATGAAAAATAATAAAAAGATAGCAACAGAGTCCAGGCTGGATACTCCTTATTTTATTACTACAACATTACTGAGTCACAGATTTGTTCTTTGAAAGTCCAAGGGTTTAAGCCAAGTAACAGATATAGTTTCCAATTTTATTTAATATAATTTCACAAATACATATTGTACATCTAAAATGCGCAGTTATATTCCAAAATCTAAAATGACAGGTGTTGTCCAAGCTAAGGGCTCCAGATATTTGCAAATGAAAGCTATCAAGACGAAGAGTACAGAAGTAAATATTTTATATGAAATCACTGATATTTAATTACAAAGTACATATACATATATATTTATACATATATAGAGAGAGAGTTTCTAAGTGCCATACATTTTGAAGTTTCAGAGATCAGATCCTCCCCAGTAAAAGAAAATTAAACCTCCTGTGGGACAATCCCCTTGGCTAAGTCACACTTATTCTTTCTTATCACCCCATGGGGGCGTGGCTGGCCAGGATTCCATACACTCTTCTTTTTGTTACTATGGTTAAAGGCAGCCTCACATCAATTAGTTTTCCCAGTGATCCAAGAAGAGGGTGGAACTCAAAACCAATGGGTTTCTTCAGATGTTCTACCCCACAGCTCTTTCCTGTGGGCACAAGGAGTCTTTCAGAAGCTGAGTTAGGGAACCCAGACTGCTAGGGTATGTGAGAGTTGGTTAGGTAGGGACTGGCAGTTCTCCGCCCTCCATGCAAACATGGTTGTTTTTTGTTTTTGTTTTGCCCTGGCACTCTACTTTCTCCCCTGCTTTTTTCATTTCCTATCTGCTAGATTTTAAGCTACATTCTCTGGAGGCTCCCATGTGTCTGTGCAGATCTGGAACGCTGGCTCAGGAAAGCCTTTTAGAATTTTATATGCATGACAGAGTAAGAGATAATCTTGGGAAAGAATTTATCTTTGGAAATGGAGCATCAAGCCACACAAATTATGTCCAACGACAATGCTTTAAGGTCAAGAGTGAGGCTTTCATTTATTTTTCTCCTGACTACAGCAGGAGAAGATTCCACTGCCTGATACCCCTGAGTCCTAAGACCACAGACAGCCCAACTGGAAAACTGAGAACTGTTTTCTCTGCAAGAAAACCCAAGCACACAGCTTCTCTGAATGGCAGCAGGGACAGGGATGAAAACCATTGTTCGGAATTAAAGTGGCAGCAGCGTGGGCACAAGGCAAAATAGTTTGAGCAGCAATTCAATACAGTTTAGCCATCTTTATTCAGTGCCCGGACCTGTGGTAGGGCTAGCCCTGAGGTGAGGGGTGGGGAAGGTGAGAGGTGTTACAGGGCTGGAGGTCGGGGGAGAAGTGGTACTCAGGTCAGTCCAGCAGCACCAGCACTAGTCATGACCATTGCATCAGCTCCCTCTGCAGACTTCAGCAGAAACATCCCAGAGATTTTGCCTGTCACTGAGGAGGAGAGAGACAAGACACAGCAGCATCACAGCCCAGATTGGAATGGGACAAGTGAGAAACAGCAAATGTGAGCCACCCAGTGGGAAGCCCTAGGATGACAGGAGACAAACTGAAACAGGAGCCCTGGCAGGAGCGTCGAACAAGGGTGCACATGTTTCTCTCCTCTAGGAAGTCTTGCCACTGTCCTTTATCTGGGTTAGAGTTCCCTCCCTTATGCTTTAATAGCGCCAGGCCCATCCTTCATCATTCTGTATTAATTGTTTAACATATGTTTCTGCCTGCCCCACTAGGCTGGGTTTTGCATCTTTACTTTAGGGGTGGTAAGTGAAGGCAGACACACCTTCTGAGCTCAGCACAGCCACGGGCAGATACTGAATGTGCCAGTGACTCAACACCCAAAGCCTCAACACCCAAAGCCTCAATTTTCCCTGGAACACCTCTGCAGGTAAACAGGAACATGGTTCATCTAACTTTACGTCTTTCTCAGTCATGGTCTCTTGGTCTCTTGGACATTGGAGAAATTGGGGTCCAGAATGAAGAAACAGAGGAGAAAGGAAGAAAAAAAAACCCTCTATTGCATTTTCTCTGTACCTGGTTTGCTACTTTTTACAAATTGATATTTTTGTCTTGTTTGCCTAAGTTGCTAAGAGTGGAAAAAAGAGCCTGCAGGGTGTCAGTAGGAGAGTAACCATGGAGGTTCAAGAAGGCACATGCAAGCGCTACTGTGAATCAACTGGGCCTCTCTGACAGCCCACAAATGCCTGTGGTTTGCTGTGTTTCCCTGGCTTAGGAGAACAGTTGCCTTAATGTCTTGGAGAATTTTCTCTAGGTAAATATTTATGCTAGATTTGGAAAGCAATTAGGCATCACCACATTCTCATGAATGTATCCCTTCCCCACCCCCTTTAAAATAAACATTCTCACGGGAGGCTACGGGATGTACAGTATATGCCCCATCTTGATGGGGCTGAGATAAGTTCCCCTCACAGACCACTAACCAAATATATGATCCATGTCATTTTTAACTGCACCATGTTAAATTGTTGGCAGAATCACATCAAACGTGAAGTCTGTGTCTCTTGTCTCATTAGGAATGATGCTGCTTATACATCTCCCTGTGATGATGAACGATCACATCCACAGCAAAGTGTTCATCTGCCTAATACTTTATGAGGCATTTGGCTTGGCTGAATGCTTGATATTCAGCAACTTTAAACCACATGCCATGTTGTACAAGTTCTCAGGAAAGGGAAGCATCAGGCAGCAAAGAGAACATCTGGATCTGGAATTTCGCATTTCCGGGGCTAGGTTAGGAGAGAACTTGGGACCAACAGGTGAGGCTTTCAACAGAAGATTGAAAATATCAGCAATTCATTTAAGATTATGGCTTAAACAGTTTGGTTTCTGTAGCCATACTTACAAAGGGAGTTCACAGCAGCCTTCGTGCTATTTTGTCAAATAATAAGACAGTATGGAATAATTGAAAGAACCTGTGCCTTAGACGGAGCTCTCAGACCCTGTCTTCTCTCAATGAGTTGGGGCAAGTTTCTTCATGTCTTCACCCTAAGTTGCGACTCCTGCAAAATGGAATTATTGCTAAAATTGCACTAAGCAGTTTTTAGTAAAATACAATTTGGAAAAACTATTTGAAAATATGAAGACCTCCACAAATATTGCACAGAATGAATAAATTGTGTCAGAGCCTTATTCTATATAGATTTTAAGGCAGAGAAATCAGTAAATATAATGTGCTTGTCATTTAGAAGATGTAGTATCTGGACACTTGACTGCATTTCTCATGTTTCACGTTCATCCAGATGTTTAGGGCACTTTGGAATGAAAATAAATTTT